TACACTGAGCTGGATCACATCCCAAGCTCCATAAGATGCTTAGTATATAGAAACTGGTGCCAGAAATGAATGTCCTGCAAGCTAACATGCACAGAAGTAAAACGGCTGACGCGCTACTGACACAGATGATCACTGAGCGGCATTATGACCTTGTAATCATAAGCGAACAGTATAAGAAAAAAGAAAACGGGATCTGGATAGAAGACAGCAGTGGTACCGCTGCTATATGGGTACCTCCCGGAAGCAGCATGCACATCTCGGAAAAGGGATATGGACACGGCTACGTCTGGGCCAGACACAACCATATAAAAATAATAAGCTGCTACCTGACACCAAGCGACAGCATACAAGACTTCCAAGATAAACTCGACGACATCGAAGATACGGCCATGAACTTGGAAGGACCCTTTCTGATGGCAGGAGACCTAAACTCAAGAGCCACGGAGTGGGGAATGCCAAACACGGACTCCAGAGGCAAACGCGTGCTAGAAATGTCAGGCCAGAAAAGAACTCAAACGAGCAATCGAGGCCAGCAAGCACAGAAAGTGGGAAGAACTGCGTGAAGATATAAACAGAAATCCCTGGGGTCTCGGATATAAGGTGGTAATGAAAAAACTTGGGGCCATGGCAATACCACCAGAGCTTAGCGCTCAAAAAATGGACCGTATAGTAAGTGAACTCTTTCCCACGCATGACGCGTTAACCAAAGAAGCTGAGCCTATCATCGTTCCTCAAGCACCACTATTCAACGCAGAAGAGCTCAAGGCTGCCACAAATATAATAAAGGCCAAGAAAGCTCCAGGCCCAGACGGCATTCCAGGAGAAGTTCTAAAAATAATCGCCGCAGAACGCCCTCATGTGCTTCTAAACATGTACAATGCCTGCCTCAAGAACGGAATATTCCCAGAAATTTGGAAAAGGCAGCAGCTCGTCTTAATCAGCAAAGGAAAGGGAAACCTTGACTCACCATCAGCGTATCGACCACTATGTATGCTGGACACAGCTGGAAAACTCTTAGAAAGGCTGCTAAAACCTAGAATAGAAGCGGCTATCGCCAGCGGCGGCGGACTTTCCTCAAGACAGTACAGGTTCAGGCCCGGGAGATCTACAATTGGAGCTATAAAACATGTGACAACAACAGTGGAAGCCGCATACCAACACAAAAAGCTAGTCCTGCTTGCAACCTTAGACGTTCGCAACGCCTTCAACACCGCAAAATGGGAAAATATGATACACGCACTAGATGAAGTCTACAACATACCCACGTACTTTAGACTCATGGTTAGAAGCTATCTAGAAGGCCGGGAGTTATTATACCATACCACCGATGGACCCCGGCAAATGACGATCACGTCGGGCGCAGCACAAGGCTCCATTCTTGGGCTAGACCTATGGAACATCAGCTACGATGGAATATTAAACCTTGAGATGCCTGATGACACATACTTAGTAGGCTACGCTGACGACATTGCCGCAGTGATCACCGCACGAGACACCGAAGATGCTCGCCGCAAATTAAATCAGACTATGATAAGAACACAGGCATGGCTCGACTCACACGGTCTTAAACTTGCAGCAGAGAAAACCGAGCTAATACTCCTAACTAAGAAGCATATTCCCTTAGAAGTGAGCATGAAACTGACCGGCATTACATTAAAGGCACAAAGAGTAATAAAGTACTTAGGTGTAAGGCTAGACCCCAGGCTAACGTATTGGGCACAAATGCAGCACGCAGCCGCAAAAGCAGCAAAGGCAACGGCTTATCTAAGCAGATTAATGGCCAATATTGGTGGACCGACTCAAGGTAAAAGAAAACTTCTAATGTCCACAACCTTGAATATTTTGCTATACGGAGCGGAGATCTGGGCTGACACCCTACAGAAAAATAACCGTTGCAAGATACTCTCCAGAGCCCATCGCACTGCAGCTTTAAGAGTAGCCTCTGCGTACCGTACAGTGTCCGGCGAGGCAATACTCGTGATAAGCGGAACGGTTCCCATTGATCTACTAGCAGCCGAGCGCAAGAAAATGTGGGAGCTTAAGGCGCAAACGAAACCAAGTCACATCGAAAGGGAAAGAGTAAGAAACGAGACACTAAGACTATGGCAAGATAGGTGGCAAAACGAAAGCCGCGGCCGATGGACGGCCAGGCTAATAAAAGACCTAAAACTTTGGACACAAAGAGAACATGGCGAAGTAAACTTTTACGTTACACAAATGCTGTCTGGGCATGGTTACTTTCGCAAATACCTGTATAGAATGGGAAGAGCCGAAGAGCCGTCATGCATATACAGCGACGCAGAAGAAGACGATGCCGAGCACACTTTCTTCGGATGCAAAAGATGGGAAGCCGAGCGCAATAATCTGCAAGACCTGGTAGGACCAATTAACCCAGATAACGTTATCCAAGCCATGCTACATAGCGAAACTAACTGGAAGAACATAGCGAAATATGCAGAATACCTACTTAGAGTCAAGAAGCGGGACCTGGACGCAGGTGCACCGAGGGAACTTTAGTTAATGAGAAATATGGAACGCCACCCTGAAGCAATGCGATTAGTGGTCCCAGGGTGGGCGACGGTTCCAATTCGGGGGGAGTGTTTTAGTCTCCGGACATACCATTGTTGTGACGACAGCTTTGATGATGCAATAGGCATTTTCGACCCCCTGCCCGCGAAAAAAAAAAAAAAAAAAAAAAAAAAAACGAGACTGATCAAACGGCATCCTCTACCTAAGCTACAAGCCAATATTAATACGAAGCCTGAACGATTTTCTCATGGATTCTCGAAGATTTATTAATTCCACTTCCATTAATTTCTAAGAATTCCACCTCTCAACCAAAAGCATCAACAGGGATTGGAATAAAAATTCCAACACACACACACACATTCACATACATACAAGCTTGCTTCCCTTCCAGAAATTGTAGAAAAATTTTATCGCCTATAGCCATGATGCACTTCTGCGTCACTAGTGGAACTTATTGAAGCGTTAGTAACTGGTTTTCACAAACCAAAAACCATTTCTGTCACCCTTTTCTTATATATAATTTACAATAACACGACGGCAAACTTACCAGTTCCAGCAAAGTTCAGTCGATCCTGCACTTCGTTACAAGTCAGACTTGTTAGTTCCGGTGCAGCACTGGGGCTCCTTTTTTGTTTCCAACCATTGTTTATCCCTTATTCATTGTTTGGTGAGCACCCTACTTGGGCCCTGTTTGAGGCATGTAATAAAAACTGCATAAGCGCAGCTCTGATGAAAAGTCTGTGTAACTTCCCAATCGTTAAAACGTTGCTAGAAATTCACACCGAACATGATACCTCATTTTTTAGATGAATGCAGCAGTTGCAAACGGCTCTTTAAATGAAATTGGTTAGCTGCCAACTTTTCGTTCAACTTTCGACTCAACTAAATAATCGCTTTTAAAGTTAAATCATGTAAATCCCAACCTTTGCCACTTCACTACGGCGTTGATTACGCCCCTTAAACACCCCGCACGATATATGCTAGTAGAGTTCCCATTAAAATATAACTTTAGCTTCCTTTTAACATTTTTATTGAATTTCACAATATTTTTTCCACACATTTGATATTTCACTAGCTTCAAGTACTCGAAGGCGAATTTTTTTGTGCTCATAAATACATATTCGTAAACTTTATTCTAAATTATAAGCTTTTCTTTAATATCATGAAATAACTACTTTATTTGTACACATCGGTATAAGAACGCGATGCGGTAGCGGCGTTCCAACGACATAACAATGCCCGTCACTGGTCTACACATCGGTATTGTAATTTGCAGAAATCGACGATATGTATACTGGACTGGGCAAAGCAAATTGAATGTTGATCGCGAACCGTATGCAGTGAGCATTAACCGTGCCTTGCGGCCGACTCCACCGCCATCGGCCCACATAAGTATGAGGCGCAACCTCTGCCGTAGCACCTCAGCCCTTACGTGAGCAAAGAAGCAGTGGGGGAAAATCTGTCTACGACAACCATGAAAATCCATATTTTGAGACACTGCAGCCACAATAACTTTCAACGCATCACATCTTGCAATTCTAAACTGCCTTTTTTTCGTTCAATATATGAATTATAAATTTTGCTTTCAGTGTTTTTTATAAATTTTCATTCGTTATTAATTTAATATGGTTGTATAAATTGTTCAATATGTTTTTTAAGTTTTGCTTTAGATTTTGGTATATAGGTTGTGCTTTCGTATTTGTTTTGCGCGCCACTGTTTTGCAGTTCTCTATTCCTGAAAAGAAAAGAAAATTTAAGAATTAATGGAAATTCAGTGAAAAAAAAAAAAACCACTCAGACAATATACTTACGCAAGCAATTTACTCGAAACGTGGTTTATGAATGACAGTCGGCCATTCACGCAAATAGTTTGTTATCGACAACAAAATAAACGAATTCGATACCTTTCAGAGTTACCTCGACCTTTATTATACCCCGGTTACACGTTCAATTTTCCTAAGGCTGGTGGCACACCTATTTGCGCAGATTGAAAGCGTATAAAGGACTTTGCATTTATTTTCATAAAGATAGAGTGGGAGAATAAACAACACGTAATGATTTTCATATAATTATTCATATATCTTTCATTTTGGCGAGTCATACTTAATGCAAGGCGACATTTCCATATGAGCAACAAAAAGTCAAATTATGATGGTTGGTTAATTTTAGATGCTATTTCCGAAACCACAGGGCACTATAAAGAAGATGTGACCTACTATCTCAATCTTCCTCCATAATTTTCGTACAACCTCCATAGGAGGTAAACAGCTCACATGCCGAAGGCAACCCTGTTACACCTACCCACCAACCATCAAGCCATGATTGCACGTTCGTACCTATCAATCATAAAGGGGACTTAACACGGTTAAAAGGTTTACGATCACTAAAAATTTAGGTTTTATATTGCTCGCCATCCCAACGTTATTTTTATTCGCTTCGATCCCTAATGAAGTGGGAAACCATAATTTCAGGAGATGACTCGCTACACTACCATGCGTAAACAGGCTGAGGCAAGGAAATATCCGCTAACATGCAGGCTGTGTGGTAGCAAGCATCCGATTCGACTGTGCCCAGTGTTTCGGTCCAAATCGCTGGAGGATCGCCTTCGTGAAGTGTTAGTGCATCGGTACTGTACTAATTGCTTGTCCGGGATGCATCGTGCCGCTCATTGCACTCATCCGGGAACTTGTCGACGCTGTAAAGAGCAACACCATACAATGCTCCACATCGATCTACCAGGCGATGAACAACCGCGGGCCAGTCGCAATGACGCAGACGACAGCGATGCGATTTCGTTAGTCGCGTCCGAGACTGGAGCGGAAACAATTGCTTTCCGCCCGGACTTGGAGGAAGGGGAATTGCTAAGCGCTGGAGCGGAAACCAGTGCTTTCCGCCCAGACGAAGCGCCCGGAATGGAGTCAAATGCACTCCATCCGGATTCTGCGAGCGAGCTAGAGTTGGAACCCCAACATTTCGGACAGCTCTTACGATACCAGCCAAGAGAGAGCGGATTGGAAATTAGAACTTTCCAACCGCGATACTATACCTCATACCCCCAACCTCGACGACGAAGTAACCACCCACGGCATAAGCGTCCCTCCCTAAAAGAACCGGATTTCGGTCTGGGCAAGATCACGCCCCAATGAATCCGATACAACAACTCACCGCAGTTGCGCCAACAGCCATCGTGAGGGTAGAAGCAGGAGGACGCTTGCACCTGGTAAGAGCTTTGATTGATCCGTGTGCCGCAACATCCATTATCGCAGACGACCTCGCGCGAGAGCTGAAGCTCAATTTAACGGCAGTCGGCAATCAACGAGGGTGTTTCATAAAACTACGCGGAAAACACGGAAATTCCACGACCATAACAATGCACGCGGTGGCCGTACGGAACTATCGGCAACAAACGCCTTTAAAAAGTCTCGATGCCACGGTCGTAGTACCATACAACAATATAAAGCTCGCCGATCCTCAGTTCCACATCGCAGCTCCCGTCCGCTTAGTGCTAGGTGCCGAAGTTTTCCCTAAGATGTTCTTAGGCGACATTCCAGCGGGAACTCTCGGTGCGCTACTAGCGCAAAACACCATTTCCGGACGGGTACTGTCAGGCGCATGCTAAACACATTTTTGTATGACTTTATTTTTTTTTTCCATGATGAATCAATAACTGAAAATTTTTCGTATATATATTTTGTTATATTTCATGAGTCAACTTTTTTTTCAAAATGAATTATTAAATGAAAATATATTATATAATATTATTAAAAGTGCAGTTGAATTTGAGACCCACGTCTTTTATTTTTAAACTTTCTTTCCTTGTAGAATTTAGGTCCATAGATGAAGAACTGAATTGGAGAATCTAGATTTAACGTATTTTTATCGTGTAACGTGGTATAGAGGTTGGATCACATGGTTCTTTGGATGTTGCTTATAGCAAGAGGGCCGGCATGTTTAGGCCTCCGTCTAAATAGATTAGAAAGAGGACACCCCTAATGTTTAACATTGCGTTAACATTGCCGCTGTTAACTTTCCCCTCGCTTTCTATTTGTTTCCGTTATTGGAATAGTACTACTTGAAAACATCTTGGCAGGCTACCGCCATTATAATAAAAAACTGTTCACTTACTTCTTTTGCGAGCATCCAGAGAAGAGGACGTGATCCAGCCACCATACTACAGCGTATTCAAAGGTAATCTACAAAAGCAATTTGTATATATATATATATCCACAGCACATTTTTATATGAATAAATCCACATATTTAAATTAATCAAAATACTAATACCACTTTGTGTTCTTTCTTTTGCGGAAAACAAATCGGCACAACTGGTTCCAATCGTTGTGGCGATTATCAATCTACTTACGGTTTAGAAGTAAAAGAGCCTGATGTTTTGTATTTTGAAGTTTTCGAATGCACCCTATTTTTTAATTACCTCTTAAACAGTGTAATACTTTATTTGGATTTAAATGGACAATAACATTTCTTAATGCCAGATCCTTAATATGACTCCTAATTTTTATACGATATGCGGAATCCGTAGCAAGCGATAAAAACTGTGCATACTTGCACGTCAGCGACACTTCTGCGACATAATATCGCTTGCGTATCGGCCGTGCGACACGGTTTGCTATCACACCGCATATGATATCGGGTGGTGTATCGCTCTAATGTGCACTGCGCGTATGTCGATGTCGCTTTCATATCGTATCGGGGTGGACGGCAGAGATGCCCTTTAGCTACTGCGCTGCCGCTAATGGACACACAGAGCGTTGCATATACAACGGCGTTCGTATTGGCAATACAAACATGAGAACCACTGTTAACACATATTTCAGTACGGCAAAGAAGAAAACCGTATTCATTCAAAAATTAGGTATAATAGAGCGTGTGTGAATCGGTAAAAAAGTTCGCTGCGAGTAAATTTTTGACAAGTATGAGGTGAATAAAATTCATCGTATATACTTGCAAGTATGGAATCCTATGCCCCTTTTTGTCTATTCTCCGTCTAACAGCGGACGTGCCTGCCAAACTGAAAAGCATGATGGCGGCAGTGTTTGAGAGGCATGTTCGACGATGCGAACGGCAGTGGAAGGTAATAAATGGAAGATGGATGACATGAGAATGAAATAATTATGAAA